AAAAAAAAAAAAAAAAAAGAGGGGCAGTTAGCATTAGTTAGAGATTTGATCAGATTTGGGTTTTACTATTTTAAAATAAGGGAAATTGCTTGGTAAACTCTTCTATCGCAATACATATAGTACTGCAAGCTACGTTATAGTCTGGCCTCTTATTTTGGGTGGCAGTTGGGGATTATTTGTTTTCTTTAGTTCGTTTTAGAATCTCTCCCTGTTTGCTTTTGTTTGCCTTGACCATGGTAAGAGGGTGGAGTGGTGACCCATCTGGAGCGAAGAAACTTTGAGCAAAGAGTTGAAAGAGCAGTTTCTAGAACCACCTGTGGCCCTTGTGTGGTGGCCATGCACAGTGTGAAAATGTTTTCCTTTGTGCAGCTAAGGAGTTACCAAATTGTTCCGAGTTTCCTTCTAGCTCAGGGTACTGTTTTAAGCCTAACCATATATATTTGCTGAGTTATTTGGGGGGAGGTTCAGGGATTAATATGTGCATTTCTCAGTTACTAGCTCAAGAGAAATTCTTTTTTTCTTTTTCTCTTCTAGCTATTGTACACACGTGACAACCTACGAGGAATCAAATTATTCTCTGAGTTATCAGTTTATACTAAATCTCTTCTCCTTCCTGCTCAGAATAAAGACTTCCCTTCTCCATGAAGAAGTGAGCTTAGTTGAAAAGGAACTTTTTAAGAAAAAATACAGTGTAACAAAAAAGAAATCAAAATCCAAGAAAGTGAGACGATATTGAGAAAAATGAATCTTTTTTGGAAAAATATCTTAATAGTGATAGTAACATCAGATTTTAATATAACATTCCAGAGAATTATGGAAAATACTGCATATCTATGTATACACTCTGACACATATTTACATATGTATCAAGTGTGCTTAGAAAAATGTATATTGTAAAGCAGGTAAGCTTTGTTTGATTTTATTTTTCAGAGTATGAATATTCTAAGAGAAAGTTAAAACAATAAATTGTACAATTGTTCTGGAAATGTGTATTTGTTGTCTTTTAAAGCTAAATTTATTTTTTAAACTAGATCCCTTCCATATGTTTTATGCCCCAGAGTAAATCCCAGATGGATCAGAGATCTAAACGTAATCTTTCATATTTAAAAATATAAAAGTATTAGCAGAAAATAAATATGAATGCTTTGATGATCTTGGAATGGCAAAGTCAATTTTTGCAGCATACAATGGACAAAGGAATAATTTCTTTTTTTTTATTTTTGAGACGGAGTCTCGCTCTGTCTCCCAGGCTGGAGTGCAGTGGCGCACCCTCGGGCTCACTGCAACCTTCACCTCCCAGTTTCAAGCAATTCTCCTGCCTCAGCCCCCTGAGTAGCTGGGACTACAGGTGCGTGCCACCACGCCCGACTAATTTTTGTATTTTTAGTAGAGACGGGGTTTCACTGTGTTAGCCAGGTTGGTGTCGATCCACCCGCCTCGGCCTCCCAAAGTGCTGGGATTACAGGCATGTGCCACCGCACCCGGCCTAAGGAGTAATTTCTTTAATGTATCAGTAGCTCTTGCAAAGCAAAAGGAAAAAGACAAGCTGAGTAAGGGATATGAAAACATAGTTTTCTGAAGGCCAAGCCAAAAAGCATGGTAGAATACTTGACCTCACTCATATTCAAGACGTACAAATTGAAATAAATACTGTTTCCCACATGTTGGATTGACAAAGATTATAAAGATGTATAATAGCTGGTAAGGACATTGGAAAAGCAGGGATTCTTGTTCTGAATTCGTGTATGCATGCTACCAATTCATGGTAGCAACTCCTGTGTTCCAGGCACGTTCTAAGCACTGGGAATACAGCACTGAACAAGACCCCACTTTTAAGGATCTTAGATTCCAACTGGGTGGAAGCTGATGGTGAAAATATATATATTGTTTTGGGGAATTAAGTACAATGAAGAAAAAGCAAGAAATGAGATAAATGATAGGTAGGCCATTTTATAAAGGGTGGCTGAGGGAGGATCCCCTGAGGCAGTGGCATTCGCAGAGACCAACTTGCGTGGAGCACAGTAGCACGAGCGGCCACGAGGCCATCCAGGGGTAGATCAGCCCAGGCAGAGGACAGACGTGCAGAGGCTCTGAGCAGGCACGTGCTGGCTGCGGTCCAGGACTAGCAAGCTGTCCACAGTGGCTGGAGTGCTGTGGTTGAAGGGGAGAGGGAGAGCAGAGGGGATGCTACAGGTTACTTTCAGGTCACGGTAAGGACTTTGGCCTTTATCTCAAGTGTCGCAGGAAGCCTTTGGAAATTTTTAAATAAAAGAATGATGTGATCCCATCTATGTTATAAAAGTACCACTCTGACTGCTCTCGTGAGCACACTGTTGTGGGGACGTGGGCAGTGGTTAATGAGTTCATTTTGAGCTGAACATATTTTGTTACTCTCTTTACCTGTTTCACTTATTGTATGTAAGGTTTTCCCTTTTTTTGAGACAGGCTCTTGCTGTGTTACCCAGGGTGGAGTGCAGTGGTGTGACCTTGGCTCACTGCAGCCTTGACTCCCCAGCTCAAGTGCTCCTCCTGAGCCTGAGGAGTTGAGACCACAGGCATGTGCCACCATATCCAGCTATTTTTTTAAATTTTTTGTAGAGGCAGAGGTCTCATTATGTTGCCTAGGCTGGTCTTCAACTCCTGGGCTCAGCTGATCTTCTCGCCTCAGCCTCCCAAAGTGCTGGGATTATAGGTATGAGCCACCATGCCTGGCTAAGACTTTTAATATTTTTTTATTTTTGCAACTTTTTGTAACAGGAGTTATACAATGATTTGAATGATATGCATGTAGAATTTTGATCTAAAAATTTAAAGAATAAATAGTTCAAGGTTTTACAAAAGCAAAACAATAAAACTCTTCCCCTTTTATATACATGAAGAAAAAACTTTCTGGAATGATCTATTTTACAATAGTGGTAATTTCTGGTTGGTATATAATAACTAGTGATTTTATTTTCTTGGTGACTCTGCATTTTATAGTTGTATATTAAGAGTTGTATTAATAATTATTTTTTGAGGCAGTCTTTATCACTCAGGCTGGAGTGCAGTGGCGCAATTGTGGCTTGCTGCAACCTCCACCTCCTGGGCTCAAGTGATTCTCCTACCTCAGCCTCCATAGTAGCTGGGACTACAGGCTCATGCCACCATGCCTGGCTAATTTTTTATTTTTTTTTTGTAAAGGTGACGCGGTCTTGCTTTGTTGCTCAGGCTAGTCTTGAACTCCTGGCCTCAAGCAGTCATCCTACCTCTGTCTCTCAAAGTGCTGGAATTAACAGATGTGAGCCACTGTGCCCAGCCTGATTTGATAATTTCTTAAAAGTGAAAACTATACCTACCATGTGATCCAGCCATTCCACTACTAGGTATCTACCCAAGAAAAATAAAAGCATGTTTCCACACAAAGATTTGTATTCAAATATTCATAGCAACTTTGTTTGGAATAGCTGAGAAAAGGAAAGCAACCCAAATAGCCACCAACAAGTGAATGGATAAACGCGTGGTGGTATGTACGTACAATGAAACACTACTTAGCTGTAAAAAAAGGAACAAGCTATTGAGGCAACAATAGCCCTGCTCAGGAGCAGGATTTGGAGCAGAATGTAAGAAGCCTATCTTTCATAATTTAAAAGCCTGCTTTCTAAGATTTGAGCTGAAAAATCTTTTTTGAAGATGAATCTCATGGAGCTGACATGATTTGAAGTGCTGTGGCACTTCATTTGAATAAAAAGTCGAAGTTGCTAACAAGTTCCATGTGCTTACAAATATTGGGACAGAGAGCTCAAAGCTAGGAAGTTTTGGGCCACCCATGAATATGAAGTAGGATTATGAGGGGAGGAGAAGGGCCAGGAGAAGGACCTGTAATCCCAGCACTTTAGGAGGCCGAGGCGGGTGGATCACAAGATCGGGAGTTTGAGACCATCCTGGCCAAGATGGTGAAACCCCATCTCTACTGAAAATACAAAAAAATTAGCCAGGCGTGGTGGCAGGCGCCTGTAATCCCAGCTACTCTGGAGGCTGAGGCAGAGAATTGCTTGAACCCAGGAGGCGGAGGTTGCAGTGAGCCAAGATGGCGCCACTGCACTCCAGCCTGGGCGACAGAGTGAGACTGTCTCAAAAAAAAAGGAGAAGGAAATGAAAAATATGGCTTTCCATACATTTCAAATTTTATGAATTACCATTGAAGCCTAATGATGAAATGCTACTCTCTGGAAGTCAGTGTTTTCACATCTAAAAATAGTATCATAGAAAAAGCTTATCTGTCTACTGCCAAAAAGGGAAGATGGACTTAGTGGGCTAGTAATAGCACATATTGAGCACCTACTATATACACATATGAGGTGCTGCCATACAAAATTCAGTCTCCGCTGCTCTGTGAGGGCCATGCAGTCATCCTTATACAATAGGTGAGGAGCTAGGGGTTCCGCTGTGAAGTAGCCTTCCCAGGGTGCTCAGCTGTGCTGAGATTTGGGCCCAGGTCTCAGACTCCAGCTTCCAAACCACATTAAAAAAAACTCACCTGCAGACTGCCTATAGCTTTAGCAGTCACTATGTCACCATTTCATTTGCATCCTTCGGGTGGAGAAAGGTTTGTGAATATTTTAGTAAATTTGATTCAATAGACATTTCTTGATTATTTATCACATTGGTTTTCAAAGTGTGGTCCCTGGACCAGCGACATCAGCATTACCTCGGCACTCATTAGAAATGCACATTCTCAGGCCTACTTCTGACTCCCAATCGAGAAATGCAGCGTGGGTCCAACAATCTGTTTTAACAAGCCCTCTGGTTCGCTCCAGGCTCCAAGGTGGGACAGTCACTGGTGCTCCTGGCGACTGGGACAACAGACCTGCTGTGGAAGCTGCAGCCCGTGACCACCTCCCCATGGCTCCTCTCAGTTCCCATGCTTCTGAAAGTTCTCCATCCCCTGCAGGGCTGCCCCACAGTGGCCTTCCACATCCTCCTGGAGCAGGGGTCCCTGCCACCACCAGGGCTGCCCCTGTAGCTGTGCCACAGCTCTTCTGCCCAGGCACCCGCAATGGCACAAGGCACCCTGTAGGTCATCTGCTTGAGGCCTCTACCTAAATGCTTGCCTCAGCTGTTTCTAAACTACAAAAGCACACAATCATGAAATGAGGTGGAGGTGGGCTGAGTGCCACAATGGATGCCAAGAGGAAGAGGGAGGGACATGGCACTGGGAGGCTCTGGGCGCCACTGGAGGGAGGCGCTCAGTTTCCAGGCTGCCCCGGCCAGGAGAGGAGTCGTCGAGTCTTGATCTCCTTTCAGGGAACGAAATAAACTACTTTGCCACTAGAGTGACTTATATGTGATTTAGGTGGAATCTCTTTCATGAAAAATTTTATGTTTTTTTAAAAAAATGGATTATTCCGGCCGGGCGCGGTGGCTCAAGCCTGTAATCCCAGCACTTTGGGAGGCCAAGGCGGGTGGATCACGAGGTCAAGAGATCGAGACCATCCTAGTCAACATAGTGAAACCCCGTCTCTACTAAAACTACAAAAAATTAGCTGGGCATGGTGGTGTGTGCCTGTAATCCCAGCTACTCAGGAGGCTGAGGCAGGAGAATTGCCTGAACCCAGGAGGCGGAGGTTGCGGTGAGCCGAGATCGCGCCATTGCACTCCAGCCTGGGTAACATGAGTGAAACTCTGTCTCAAAAAACAAAAAAACAAACAAACAAACAAAAAAATGGATTATTCCTTGGCCAGCTACAGGGTGGCTTACGTCTATAATCTCAGCACTTTGGGAGGCCAAGGCGGGTGGATCACTTGAGGTCAGGAGTTTGAGACCAGCCTGGCCAACATGATGACACCCCGTCTCTACTAAAAATACAAAAATTAGCTGGGTGTTGTGGCAAGTGCCTATAATCCCAGCTACTTGGGAGGCTGAGGCAGGAGAATCAGAGGTGGAGGTTGCAGGGAGCCAAGATCACACCAGTGCACTCCAGCCTAAGTGACAGAATGAGACTCTGTCTCATAAATAAATAAATAAATAAGTTGGATTTCTTAACCACTACAGTGAAGCATCATTTTATGATTTAGGCAACCACCCTAAAGGAAGATAAAACCAAGTGAGATTCCACATGGTCTCAGATTTAGTAACTACTGCAATACAAAATCACTACAGGTATTGATTTTGG